TTAATGAGTTGATCATTGAATGACAACAAATAGTTGGATAAGGTAATAAAGAGGAGGAACATGCATGTGGATGTGGGAACTGAGCATGTTGTTGGAGATGTAGATCTTGAGGCTGATATTGATGATTTCATTTGATCCTTGATGTCATGTTATTTGATAAACATATTTTTTGGATATCATGGATGGTTGGATGGTGGTTTTTTTTTTTTTTTTTTTAATTTTTTTTTAATACATTCATGTCTTATTTTTCCTTCTATGTGCTTCATTGTATATCTTGTGGATGTTTGATATCTATCTCTCTCTCTCAGTTACTATTTCTTTCTTGTGTTTTTTTATTCCTTATTTGTCAATTTTTAACAAAAGCGGGAGAGAAGATTCCGTGCCTACATGTTAGGGGGAGAATTGCTTGATTGAGAGTTTGGAGTTATGTTTGTAAATATTTTTATTTTAATTTATTAAGAATTCACACGTAATTTTGTTTCAGCAATGTGTGTTGGGGATAATTAACTCCCTCCAACTCACTCAATGGTTGGCTGTTGTTGAGAGTTAAATCCCTCCTTCATCACACACAGCGAAAACATCACCACATCACATCAACACAAGCATATATGGAGATAACAATCATACACATCCACGCACAACACAATATTTTACATGGTTCACCCAACTCTAGGGTTATGTCCATGGGAGAGAGAGATTTCACTATTATGAATTAAGGAAGAGAATATACAACCACATGTCAAAACCCCTACTCACTCACTCATCATCTCTATCGAGACTACATGTATACACTCGGGAATTACATATACTCTCCCATCTCCTCACAACACTCACCCTTAAACCCCTTACATCTTTTCTCTCTCCTTTCTCTAAACCCCTCATACCCATCTCTATTTATAGAGTCTTCAAAACTCAATTCCTTGTTGGACAAGTATTCCTCAAATCCAATTTCTTGTTGGATAAGGATCAACTTACCTACAAGGAGTTACCATATCCATCTTCAACTCTAAAATAGTAGGTATAACTTCTTTCCCAAATCTTTAGCCTTTTTCCCCAAGTCTTCTGAATTCCTAAACCAACCAGGAAACTTTTTCTCGCACCTTTCAAAACGAAAAAGGAAACTAATTTTCTGCGCATAAATTTTGAGCCACAAACCTAACAATCTCCACCTTGGCTCAAAATTCTATCTTCACGTGTTTCTCCATAGCTCCACCTTGAACAAGAATCTCTTTATAGTTCCACCTCAAGCTCTTCATAGCTCCACCTCAACTAAAAATTTCTCCACCTCAAATAAAGCACTATGATGAACTTGAGAAACACTTTAACAATCTCCACCTTTTCTCAAATTCATCATTCTTCATTTTTTCTTCTATCTTCTCTATCCACCCCATTGGTGTTCAATTGCTCACGCATGGCAACCCACCAATCTTTAAACTCATCTTCATCAATTACTTTTATGGCTCAAAGCAACAAACCTCTCCTCTTCACTCATCATATTCCGCTTTGCTCTTTATCGGGCTTAAAGCAAACCTCTTCATTCTTCACACCCCTTGCCCCATCTTGAGAACTAGCACCTACTTTTGACTTGTCCTTAAAACTTGTTCCTCGTGGGCTTCACCTCTATCACCTTTGCCCCATCTTGAAGATGAGCATCCTCTGGTTTGCCACAAGACTTATTCCTAATGGACTTCACGCCATCAGCTTCTTCATACCTTTGTGTCATCATCAACTTTGATTGAATCTCCATAGCACCTCACTATCATCCTCTGTTCTGACAAACTTCGCAGCAATCTTTTTCTACTAATCTTCAGGACCAATCACAGGCTCTGACCCACCATCGGCTCTGATACCAGTTGTTGGGGATAATTAACTCCCTCCAACCCACTCAATGGTCGGCTGTTATTGAGAGTTAAATCCCTCCTTCATCACACACAGCAGAAACATCATCACATCACATCAACACAAGCATATATGGAAATAACAATCATACACATCCACGCACAACACAATATTTTACATGGTTCACCCAACTCTAGGATTACGTCCATGAGAGAGAGAGATTTCACTATTATGAATTAAGGAAGAGAATATACAACCACATGTTAAAACCTCCACTCACTTACTCATCATCTCTTTCGAGGCTACATGTATACACTCGAGAACTACATATACTCTCCCCTCTCCTCACAACACTCACCCTTAAACCCCTTACATCTTTTCTCTCTCCCTCTCTAAACCCCTCATACCCATCTTTATTTATAGAGTCTTCAAAACTCAATTCCTTGTTACACAAGTATTCCTTAAATCCAATTTCTTGTTGGACAAGGATCAACTTACCTACAAGGAGTTACCATATCCATCTTCAACTCTAAAATAGCAGGTATAACTTCTTTTCCAAATCTTTAGCCTTTTCCCCCAAGTTTTCTAGATTCCAAAACCAATCAGGAAACTATTTCTCGCAGCTTCCAAAACGAAAAAGGAAACTAATTTTCTGCGCACAAATTTTAAGCCACAAACCTAACAATGTGCAAATATATGGGTTAAATCATTCATGACATGCTCTGCTGCTACCGTAACAAAGTTTTCTTCCATTTTCTTTTTCTTTTTATTTTTGACAATCAATGTAATTTACTAATTTACTTTTTTACATTTACTTTTCCTATTTGAATTAGATTATATGTTGTCTAGGGGTTTTGTCACGATTGTCCAAGGGAGAGATTGTGAGATATAAATGTCGTAGTTGGCTAATTTTGGTGTGAAAATGTATCTAATCGAGTTGTAATTTTTGTTTTACTTTGAGTCTTGATTTCAGAGGCCGATGATGTAGAATTGATTGCCAAAGCCTTTATGGCCCCAAACGGGTATGTTGACAGATTTTATGGGCTAATCTCGAAGTATTCGTTTTTGACCCATTCGGAATTTTTGTTCGTTATCTAAACGAACTCGGATCATATTTTATATTTAGTAGTTTTATTTGATTTGGTTTCTTTCTCTAATTTTTTTCGCAATTTTTAGAGAAACTTTGCTTATTTTCGAGTATTAAAGACTAGGTTTCCTTATTTTATAAGAATTCGTGTTGCACTTAGTTTTCTTATGAATTAGTTTTTTTTTTTTGGTTATAAATATATGTATAATGCAGAGATCAAAATCACATATTTATCAATACAATTATCAGATTTTTCTGGATTTATCTTTTGTTTTGTGGATTCAAAAACCGTACTTTGTGGCTTCAAAGTAAATCGTTCTTTATGAACAAATTTATCACTTTCCCTTGGGTCAGCGAAACTACAATGATAAGAATTCTTCAATTCAATTAGAAAATTATTTAGAGCAAGAATATGAGTGAGGATACACATTGCACTTATGATTAAGTCGAATTAGGTTGTATTTTATTTTATTTTATTTTTTTTAAGTTTTTGAACTTAAAAGTGAAAACTGCAGTGTGCAACTGGTCCAACTTATCTTCCACCTGTCGCACTTGATCAATATTCAATGAACCAAATTTTGAAAATTTAGATTTGTAACTGTTAAAGTCCAACAGGTGGCACTAAGTTCGACCCGTCACGCTTTACTGGGTTAAAAGTGGAAACTATATTTATTGAATCTTCTTTCCTTCCTTTTTGATCTAGACTTGTTAGGGAAGTTCATGTACGACCATGACTGTTAAGACTCTAATGTTTATATAACACTTTTTCTCTCATGATTTGACACGGCTTTTGAAATGAAAATTCAGCAATTAGAATGAGCCTTTTTTAGTGTTTTACACAAAATCATCTTTAATTTTTCTATGTAATTTTCCGTTTTGAGAGCACACACTATTTCACACAAGTGATATCAGGTTGTTGGTTCTCATTCAGATCAAAGTTCATGCCAATTAAAGGTTTGGTTGATTTCGTTCAAAGAAGTATGATTTTCGTTTTACTTTCTTAAATTCATATTTGAAGGAAGGATTATCCGATCGTGCTACAAAAGGCACAAAACATTCACAGAGTATTCGTTTTCTACTAGCAATATTTCTTTACGGATTAAGGAATAAATCTGAAGTTGGAGCGATTGAATAGGTAAATAGGAAAAAAATATCAAGCAACATTGTCGGAAGCTTTTTCTTAATTTTTTTTCCAAGTTCGAGAGGTTCGAGCCTTCAAATCAAACTTCCATAGCATTACTTTTAAAAACAAGGAAAATTAATATGGTATATTATTAACATTATACAATATCAATAATTTATAGTTGCTATACAGCCCAAGAAACTAATCCCTGAGATTGCATCACTCATCCTTCCCCTTTTCCTTTCCGTCCATTTTTCAATCTGTCCAACTAAATGAATATAGGCACTGGGAGGGCAATTGCCCCGCACTACAAATTTTTTTATTTGCATTTTTTATACATAACTTCTGATAATTCTAAAAGTTTCTCCACTAAAATGTTAAAATATTCATAAAAGACCTTAATAAAAACTTGCAAAAGTAAGAAAAATCCCTCAATATTTAACTAAGAAAAATCCCTCAATATTTTACTCATTTGCCCAACAAAATTTTCAAAATTTAATAATGACCCATGTTCAATAAAAATTTAGAAAAGGCTCCTCCCTTGTTACTGAATTTTCTGTTATTTGTATTTAATTTCTATACACAAATTTTGATAATTATAAGAGTGCCCCGATTGAACTCCTAAAAAATTCACAAAAGACCGTAGGAAAAACTTATGTCGATCAAATTCTCCAAAACCAGAGAAGCCAGGTCTACAGTGGCTGCTTGGAGTCTTCCTAGTTCTGTTTTTGATTTGAAAGGTTCCCTCCCCACAAATGGATCCTTGTTTTGATTTCCCTCTGTTGAAGGGTCTGTGTTTTGCCCTGTTTCTGTTGCTTCAACTGCTTTTCAATTTGCAGTTTGCAGCAACAGTTTGATTGGGTTTTTGGGCTGGGCTAGTAAGGCTTTCGGCCTGTTTTACTTTGCCTGTTTGGGCTTTGCTTTCTTGTAAAAAACAAAAACAAAAAGTCTTCAATACACTATCTCCAACTTGAAGAATTAGAACATTATTCCAAATAACTATTACGACCAAACATTTGATGCCCTGACATCAATACATTACCTCCAAACTTACAAGACCAAGGAAGAACAAATTAAGTGAAAAAAAACATATATACAACCTATAAAGGACAAAATGCCATTACTGACATAGTACAGTAGAGACTTGAAATGCCTGTAGAACTTGGGAGGCCGTCGCATGCGAGCCTTTCCAAATGCTAGTATAGCAATGCACAGAAGAGAAGCCGCTGTAACTGCTACGAGCTTTAGGTCCCTATTGTCACTCCTCCAAAATGACAAGCCATATGTTACAGGAGGGATTAAGCCGAAAACTAAGAAAGATAACACAGCAATTGTTGAATGGAGTAAGAAATTTTCTTGCTCGCCCAGTAGTTCTTTGTACTGATCTGCTTCTACATTTCTTTCATTTGAGGTGCCTATAGGACCATCATATTTGAGTTCCATAAGCTGTAAGGTAACAGATGAGTCGAAGATGCAAAAAAAATAATATATATATATATATATATATATATATATAATGACTTGGGATTCTCAATCCACAACCAGAGTGTTAGCCCCCTTTAATCAACAACATCAAAACCATGCATTTATATATATATATATATATATATATAGAATGCAACCTTATACGAAACCTAAACTCACTACTGGGAGCCAACAGCCACTAATGTGAACTGTCTGTATTTGTCGGCAGAGAGAGACAACATGAATCCTACTCACATTATGAACAATGATCAGAAGTCCACCAATCAGAAATGCCAATCCCAAAGCTACAATGTTCCCTGCAACAACTCAAAACAAAATATCTTTTAGCAAAATGTAGTTTATTTTCCAAAATGAAATAAAAGCAATAGTTGTAAAACAGTACATTTTTCTCAAAAGTATATAGTTGTGCGAGAAAATGTGCAAGTATCCTCGTAGTGATATTAAGCTTACTTCTAGACGAATCTCGAAATGTATTTTCACATTGATCAGAGAAGATAAAGTAATACTATCATCCAGGTAAATTCTAAGACTATGCACACTCTCCTAAGGTTTGAAATAGACAAGATTTCTGGTATATTAATGTGCAGGTCCATAAACTGGCAGATAATTTTCCCAAAGGTCTACCATTGTTTCAGGGTCACTGTTTGGTGGAATGGTAAAAAGCTTTAGCTAAAAACTATTTCGGATTTGAGTTACTTCAAATATATTCCATGCACATGACACCAAAAAAAAGATTGGCATTAATATAATATTCTAAACATAATAAACAGCGTGTCATGCTGAATGTAAATGTCGAATGTAAACAGGCATGGGCATGATGCGCTCAATATAAAGGAAGTTGATTACTCGTTTTATAACCTAAAACTTCAGTGGGGCAATTATATATAATACTGTATCAAAAATACAGTGAGGCTGTAGATTTAAGATTTCAACAAAAATTTTAAGTATATAAAAAAATAAAAAAAAAATTAAAAAAAAATTTGTCTGTCCCTGGCTGATACTATATGAAACTTAGTACCTATGAAAAACTTAATCCAATTGTTATATAATGACCTTTCCTATATTTGGTGGCTGCAGCAGCAGATGACACAGCACTTAGGCTTCCAATTGATCCCACTAAACCGCCATAGACAATGCTTTTTAGGATATTGTATTTTAGAGCCGTTTCTTTTACTTGCAGTAAATTGTGTGCTCCGAAACACTCCTGGTTTGACTTGCCCTGCTTCAAGCATTGTTGCGTCAGCTCCTGCATGCATTATTATGTTTTGGAACAACTGTCTCATATCTCAAATATAAGTTTAGACAGCCATATATGCATGATCCATTAGTCTATATACCAAATGTTTGTAGTAAGAAAAATATGCAAATTGTTAATCTAAACGATAATCTTTGCAGAACTTTGGAACTTCAATCAATTGGCATGATAAACCAAGGAAATTAATCTTGAGTCAGGGAAAGGACTAAATTTCATATTGGACTGTGTTGTGATATATGATGTACATGGAAAATCCAGGAATACCCTATTGTCAGATATAAGACTAATTGGGACTCCGAAGAGAATAGCACAATTAGACACGGTTAGCAGGATTTGCAGAGAGATTATAGTTTACTTACCTTGCTTTTTGATTTCTACATTCTTTATATCTTCAATTTCACTCTCTAATTTTGTGGGAAGTGCAGCCCCTTCCACGGGGTTTTCATCTGCATGAGTTCCAATTTTCTATTCAATGTATCACAACTTCCTAAAAAAATTTCTTGCTAATGTTACAGATAACGATAATAAGCAGAAGATCATTGAAAAAAATATATAAGTATATATTTCAAGGGGGAATTTCATTTTATCTAAAGAAATCCCTTTTTTGGAATGCTTCTCCAAATAACGATTACTTGAAATTTGTCCCCTGAAAGAAAAACTCATTCGGACATATGAGATCAATATGGTGCCGCAAGGTTATTTTTGTTCGAATGCTGCTAATGATCATTTTCTGATTAAGTGTATCAAGCACAAAGTAAACGAGAAAAAAAATTTTGAGTTACAAATATGTAACTTGTTGTAGAATAAAGTGGTTACGAGCACTCGAAAAATAATACAATAATAATGGACACTTCGAGTAAGAGTCCTGAAAATGAATTAAGTAGGATATAGGACTGGAGACAATGTATTACCTTGCTCAAGCATGGTATTCATCTCTTTATCTACTACATCAGACGGTGGAAGAATTTCATTTGCAGCAGCTATTTGCTGAGAAATTTGTGTCTTGTCATTTTTGTTGATATGCTGCTCATGATCACTATCTGAATAAGCATATCAAACACAAAGAAGACCAAATAATATAAGCATGACAAGAAATTTTTTGAGTTAGAAATATGTAACTTGTTGCAAAATAAAGTAGTTGTAAGAATTACCAAAAAATAAAAATAAAAATAAAGTAGTTATAAACACACACAAAAATAATTCAATAAAGTGAATACTTCGAATTAGAGTCCTGAAAATTTGTATGTAGAATATAAGAATACCAACAATGTATTACCTTGTTCAAGCACTGAATATTCCTCCTTGTCAGCAATATCAGATGTGGGAAGATTTTCTTTTGCAGCAGGCTTCTGTTGAGAAATTTGTGTCGCAAAGTCATTTTTGTTGGTATGCTGCTTATGATCAATTTCTGAATAAGCATATAACACAAAGAAGACCAAAGAAAATAAGCATGAGAAGAAATATTTTGAGTTACAAATATGTAACTTGTTGCAGAATAAGCGCTAAAAAAATAATTCAATAAAAGTGAATACTACGAGTTAAGTCCTGAAAACGAGTCAAGTACAATATAAGAATACCAACAATGTATTACCTTTCTCAAGAACCGTATTCTCCTCTTTATCTGCAATTTTTGTAGCACGGTTTTGTTGAGAAATTTGTGTCCCAATGTCATTTTCTGAATAAACATATGAAACACAAAGAAGACAAAATAAATTAAGCATGAGAAGAAATTCTTTGAGTTACAAATATGTAATTTGTAGTAGAAAAAGTAGTTACAAGTACAAGATAAATATTACAATAATAGTTGATACTCTTAAGTTAGAACTCAAAAAATGAGTTAAGTAAAAAACAGGACTGCAGACAATGCATTACCTTGCTCAAGCATGGTATTCTCCTCTTTATCTTCAATATCAGACGGGAGAATATTTTCATTTGCAGCAGGTTTTTGTTGAGACATTTGTAGTGCAAAGTAATTTTTTTTAATATGCTGCTTATGATCATTTTCTGAATAAGCATATCAAACAAAAAGAAGACCAAAGAAAATAAGCATTAGAAGATTTTTTTTTTTTTAGTTAAAAATATGTAACTAGTTTCAGAATAAAGTAGTTATAAGAATTACTGAAAAAATAAAAATAAAAATATTACAATAAACACACAAAAAAATAATAATAATAATTTAATAAAAGTGAATACTTCGAGTTAGAGTCTTGAAAATGAGTAAAGTAGAATATTGTACTACCAAAAATGTATTACCTTGCTCAAGCACCGTATTCTCCTCTTTGTCTGCAATATCAGACATGGGAAGATTTTCATTTGCAGCAGGTTTTTGTTGAGAAATTAGTGTCGCAAAGTCATTTTTGTTGGTATGCTGCTCATGATCATTTTCTGAATAAGCAGATCAAACACAAAAAAGACCAAAGAAAAGAAGCTTGAGAATAAATTTTTTTGAGTTACAAATATGTAACTTCTTGTAAAATAACATAATTATAAGCACTAAAAAAACAATTCAGTAAAAGTGAATACTTCGAGTTAGAGTCCAGCAAATGGGTTAAATAGAATATAGGACTATCAACAATGTATTACCTTTCCCAAGAAGGATATTCTGCTCGTTCTCTATAATATCAGACGTGGGAAGATTTTCAATGGCAGGAGGATTTTGTTGAGAAATTTTTGTCGCAATGTCATTTTTTTTGGCACGCTGCTTATGATCTAAGCATATGAAGCACAAACAGAACAAAGAGAATAAGCATGAGAATAATTTTTTTCAGATAAAAATATGCAACTTCTTGTAGAATAAAGTAGTTAAAAGCACTAGAAAAATAAGACAATAACAATGCATAATATGAGCTAGAGTCTTGAGAATGAGTTTAGTAGAATGTAGCACTGCAGACAATGTATTACCTTGCTCATGCACGACGTGCTCTTGTTTGCCTGCAATATTAGACAAGGGAAGATTTTCAATGGGAGCAGGTTCTTGATGAGAAGTTTGTGTCGTAAAGTCATTTTTGTTGATATGACGCTTAGGATCATTTTCTGAATAAGCATATTAAACACAAAGAAGACCAAAGCAAATAAGCATCAGAAGAAATATGTAATTTGTTGCATAATAAAGTAGTTATATATAATAAGCACTAAAAATATAATTTAATAAAAGTGAATACTTTGAGTTAGAATCTTGAAACTGAGTTAAGTAGAATATAGGAATACCAACAATGTATTACCTTTCTCAAGCACCGTATTCTCCTCTTTATCTGCAATATCATAAATGGGAATATTTTCATTTTCATCAGGTTTTTGTTGAGAAATTTGTGTCGCAAAGTCATTTTTGTTGATATGATGCTTGTGATCATTTTCTGAATAAGCATATCAAGCACAAAAAAAATCAAAGAATATAAGAATGAGAAGAAATTTTTTGAGTTAGAAATGTGTAAATTGTTGCCCAATAAAATAGTTATACAAGAGCTAAAAAAATAATTCAATAAAAGTGAATACACGGAATTAGAGTCCTAAAAATGAGTTAAGTAGAATATAGGAGTACAAATATGTTGGAGTTGTTCTGCACAATCAATTAGAACTGGATCGTAATCAGACTCTACAAAACCACCACAAAATAATGTATTACCTTTCTCAAGCACCGTTTTCTCCTCTTTATCTGCAATATCAGACGTGGGAAGATTTTCAATAGCTGCTGGGTTTTGTGGAGAAATTTGGGTCACAAAGTCATTTTTGTTGTTATGCTGCTTTTGATAATTTTCTGATTAAGCATATCAAGTACAAAAAAAACCAAGAAGAAATTTTTTGAGTTAGAAATATGTAAATTGTTTCGGAATAAAATATTTATAAGCACTAAAAAAATAATTCAAAAATATAAATACTTCCAGTTGGAGTCCTCAAAATGAGTTAAGGAGAATAAAGAACTACCAACAATATATTACCTTGCTCAAGCACCGTATACTCCTCTTTATCTGCAATATCAGACGTGGGAAGATTTTCATTTGCAACAGGTTTTTGTTGAGAAATTTGTGTTGCAAACTCATTTTGATTGGTATGCTGCTTATCATCATTTTCTGAATAAACATATCAGACACAAAGAAGACCAAAGAAAATAAGCAAGAGAATAAAGTTTTTGAGTTAAACATATTTAAATTATTGCAGAATAAAGTAGTTCGAAGCACTAAAAAAATAATTCAATAAAAGTGAATACTACGAGTTTAATTGTATCCTCAAAATGAGTGAAGCAGATTAAAGGACTACCAACAATGTATTACCTTTCTTAAGCACCGTATTCTCATCTTTTTCTGCAATATCAGATGTTGGAAGATTTTCATTTACAGCAGGTTTTTCTGCATAGTCATTTTTGTTGGTATGCTGCTTATGATCATTTTCTGAATAAGCATATCAAAGAAAAAGAAGACCAAAGAAAACAAGTATATATGAGAAGAATATTTTTGAGTTACAAATATTTTACTTGTTGCACTATAAAGTAGTTATAAGCACTGAAAAAATAATTGAATAAGAGTTACCCAAAAAAAAAAGTTAATTAATCATAAGCAGCATAAGAAAATAATTTCTTAGCACCTTGTTAAGTGAATGGCAGATTAATTAATTCTCCAAATACATTCATTTCAAAGTTCATCGTTAAATTTTGTGATTTTATCTGAAATAAACTAAAAGACATTATTATTATTATTATTTGGATAAATCTGGCTATACATTATTGGTTACCTTGTTGCTTCATTTTCAGTTTCATTCTCATTGAGAGTCATATACACATCACTGCATGTCAGGACCTTATTGTATATATTTAATTAGTTTATCTGTAATAGAGCTTACCTTACCTGAAAAAGTATATATACAGCTATATATACACAAATGAAGGTGTGTATGAGTTTGTGTAAAACTCATGCATCAGACTCTAAATTATTGTATTCAAATCATTATTAATATTTCACTAAATTCAAAGTTCAATTTTCAAGATTTTGAACGAGTTGTCTCAAGAGCTATTTGTAAGAATAACAATCACTAATTATTTTAATAAATTAACATACAGATGCCAAGGCTATTGTAGCAATAATGATACATCCATAGTACTATATATAAGAGAGATAAACATGCATTTTTTGGAACTAAATTCTTGCCTTTGTTTCCTAGAAAATATATAAATAAAATTTAGATGACCAGTAAATAAATAAAGAAAGAAACTTAAAATGGCCAGCAAGAAAAGAAAAAACAACTAGACACAATGCATGAGTGAACAAAATAGTTAGGAGTGAGTGATTTACTTTTATTGGCAAAGAATATATTAAAAAATTGGATGAGTTTCAATACATGCCCCGGAGGTACTATGCGATCTGCATACCCTTCGTGTTGATGCTGCCTTCCTTGTTCAATATCCATTACTTGCAGAAACCCTAAAAACTCGCCTTCTTTACCTTCTTCAATGAGAGCTCTGCAATGCTTCTACAGCTCATCTTTGACTCTCAAACTCCTTATATAGCCATTTTTAGGTCAATGATTAATATGCAACAAATATAATATTATATATACTTAATTATATTATGATTGAGATATGAGAATGCAAGCTGTAACTTCTCATCTATGAAGAAACAAAACTTATTGCTTGCATGGGATGTTTTCTTTTCTTTGTTTTTTGCAAGTTCAACAACTTTCCCAGCCAATATTACAAAACTAGCAACTTTTACAAAATATTTCTAAAAAATACTAGAATTAATTACAAAACTAACACATTTAAATGCTCCTTTGTCCTTTATTCATAGCCCAGAAGACAAGCTATTGAACCCTTGTTATCAAAGCAAATCCCAATTACACTGTACCTACAACCTTACCAAAATGCCCCAAATTGCACTATATTATTATTATTAGTATTTTCTTCTTTAATTAAATTCTCTTTTATTAAATTAAATAAATAAGTAAATGATTTAAAATATTTTTTACTTTTAATTACAGATATAGATATAGATATAATTAACTATACAAGGTAGTACATTTTGATAAGTTTCTACATGAAGGACAATTGAGTAATTGAATGGAATGGATAAGGGCTGAGATATATTTTGGTCCATTAAGAGAAGTGAGCAGTTAAATGTGTTAGTTTTGGTCTTTTGTCAAATGTTGTAAATATTTAATTAAAATTGTTAGTTTTGTAAAGCTAGCTCCAAAAAAAGTTGTTGAATTTGCATTTTTATTTTTTAAATACATTTTATTAGCACAAAAATACCGTTCCACGTGGTTTTTCTGATTCAATAATTTACACTAATTTGTTTCCTTGACTTAAGAATTGCAGGTTAAGGTTGACTTAGTTTTGTAATACATTAACTTTATTTATTACTCGTCATGCAAGGTTGACTTAGTTTTCTGCTACATACGTCACATATTGCACGTCGGGATTTCATAGAAGAATACAAACTTAATGATGATACTTTATGGTTTACCGAATAATAATAATTATATTATATATATATATATATATATATATATATATATATGTGTGTGTGTGTGTGTGTGTGTGTGTGTGTGTGTAATATTGGATGAGATCTTATAAAATGGACATTCACATTTCCTTACCCCAATTCTCCTAGATTATCAATTAACCTGTCTGTGCCTCAGTATGAATGCTCCATGCTTGTTAATTAATTATCCCTTCTTTGCTACTGGACATGTGCTCTCCTCTCTCCAGCTCACGCAATCTTAACATCTTGTCCACGGAAGAACATTTTTGTTGCAAGTGTCTTTTTAACTACTTTCGTTTTGTATTAATTTTTTATGACGCATCCTAATCATATAATAAAGAGTTAAATATTTACTAGTAAATATATTGTGCTTCTCTTTCTACACTCCATAAGGAATTCAGTTCTTGAAACGATCCTTGTTATATGGAACAAATTTTGTTGTAAACTCACTCCATCTAAAAAAAGTGTCCATAAGTAACAACTCTGACTCTATCGACCTAGACACAATTTTGATAGGTTTACGGCCATTACAGCTTTAACTCTGATCCTATCTAGACGCAATTCTAGTAGGTTCACATCCATTACGGCTTTAAAACGCGTTGTATCATAGAAGAGTGAAGAACCTACATATAGCACTTCACCTTCCCCAAGCAATGCGTAATCATGACACCCCCTGCCAGTGTGAAAGCTTGTCTAGTGTCTCGCACCCACCCACATCAAACCTGCTTAGAGAGGTCGTCACAATCACTATACCCCCCTTGGAAGCCCAACGTCCTCTTTGGCCACACTTTCGGTTGGCCTCCGACTCTGATACCATTTGTAATAGCCATCATCCTACCCGACACAATATTGTCTGCTTTTGCCTCCCCTAAACTAGAGACTTCTCAAGAGGTCACCCATCCTGGTACTTCCCAGAAGATCACCCATCCTGGTCTCCGGCAACGGTGCCAAAAACTTGATGTGGTTTTGGTGTGTGCCACAAAAATGTGTTATATTTGATATGTCAAATGGATATCAACTTTTACATTTATAAAAGCCACTTAACACGTATACGTGAGTATAGTGAGAAGGGATCGTCCACACAAATTAAACACATGATTGGAGTCTAATTTGACTTAGTGAATGTGAGATTGAAAGGAAGTTTGTTTGGTTTATTAATCTAATGTTCAATTAAATGAAACATGCAATGGAAATAAAACTAAAATAAATAAGGTTTAAGTGATAGGAAGTGAGTCTTAAGGTATAGGAATTGCCACTAAGCTCATGCATTAAACCATATATTTTTAATTAATGGGGAAAAACTTTGTTGTAATCAAAATGTGGTTACAAGCACACATCAATCAAGAGGATAATATAATTTTTAATAAAAAGTATGAACTATCAAATTCAAGCATGAATTGTTTACCTAACTACAATTAACCTAATGGGGTAGTGCAACTCATCAAGAGTACTAAGCATAATCCATTAAACTAATTAACAATTGTATCAAATAAAAACCATGCATGGCCATCACTAAACACAATGTAGAGATTAATCCTCAATTAATTACACATAAGATAACATGCAACCAACATAAATAATCAATAGGAAGAATTATCAATTAAAACCTTGGAACAACCAAGTTTGATTACACAAGACCATAGCACAAATTACAATATATAAATCCCCAAAAATTGAAGAACAAGAGTTTAGTTACACAAGCTTAAGGTTCATCCAAACCCTAAGTGAAGAACTAGCCACTCATGGAGAAGGTAGATGTCATCAAGGTGTCCTCAAGATCCATCTCCATACTTGGGTTCATCATCTTCTTCTTCCTTGGTTGAAACCCTAGAGAGAGAAAATGTAGATCTAGAAGTTCTTTTTAGCTTTTCTATATCAAAATTGTCTAACAATCTCTAACTTTGCTAACAATTGCAAACCCTTGTAAAGATGGTTCAATCCTCTATTTATAGGTGTCCATTGGAGGTTAAAATGAGTCAGACTTATACCATCAAATGATGCAATCTTGCAGCCCTTTGGTCTTTGAAATTCAAGCCTGAAATGAGCAATTAAAACTACCCTACTTAAGTTACGATCGATTGTGGAATTACTGCGATCGATCGCAACTTGTTGCAACTTGAATAGGACCAATCGTGATCCATGGCGGTTAAGCTTGTTTTTATCTTCATCAGGATCGATCGTGAAACTGTAGGATTAATCGTCAAACTTGTAGGATCGATCGTGACCATGAAATTGCTGATTGAGCTTATCTTCTTCAGGATCGATCGCAGACTTGGTAGGATCGATCGTAAAACTTGCAGGTTCAATCGTGACTTCCACTTTTGGGCAATTTTTGGAACTTTTCTTCCTTTGCATTTGTTTGACTCCATAAAGTCTTTAATGAACTGAATTTAGCCCATTTGAACCTTATTGACCTGAAATTGACAATAAACAAATTAAGACTAAAACGAGAAAGTAAAGACAAATAAAGGGTCTAATATACCCAAGATTTAGGACTGAAATGTTCTTATTTTAGCACTTATCAGTCATCCATCCTGCTACTATTCCAGATTAAACATACTTAAATTTGGAGTTCCTGGTGGGTTCACGGCCATCACGGCTTTAAAATTCGTTATGTCATAGATGGGTGTTGAACCTTACAAATAGCAATTCACCTTCCCCGGGTGATTAAGATCATAACACCCTATAGCCTACTAGTTTGGTAGCTCGTCCAGTATCTCGCACCTGTCCACATCATACCAGCCCGCATAGGTCGTCATAATCACCCCCCGTAGGGCCCAACGTTCTCGTTGGCCACATTTCTAGCTTTGCTCTAACTCTGATACCAGAAGTCATCATAACATCTTTTCGTTAAAGCTCGAAGCCAACGGAAAACCTTCAAAAAATAGTACCTAATTTCTAATATGGAGCACTCCGTTAACGTCCACGGAGCGCTCAGAGGGGGCCACGAGCACCACAGTGCACGCCCCAAGCTATCGGTGGACACCCTCGAAGCGCTCAGTGGGCACCCTGGCGCTCATAGTAAGCGCTCGCAGCAGAGTAGGGAGTGCTCGGATAAGCCCAGTAATGGACTTTTTGCCCCTTGTTGTATGCACTCGTGATCCCGAACACTCGTTTGGTCATTTTTTACCTCCTTACCCCTATCCCAACTCACAAGCATGCATTTATAATGCAAAAAGTGAAACATCGAAATATATTTTTCAATCACTTTTCATTTACAAACTTTAATGCACATGCATAGTCATAGTTTCATCATTTACATATCCGAAATGAATCAGAAGTAGTTTAAAAGAATTTAGATATAAGTTTAAACCCTTACAGTTATAATTACAATGCTTTACAAGAATTTATATCGACTAGGCATTTATTACAAAAATATCAAACGATGCTCCTATTCAACCCTAACTATGCTTGTGAGGGTCCGCACCAACCACAACTTCGTTATAACCTAAAAAATGTTAAAGGAATGTGTGAACACGGAGGCTTGGTAGAAGATGCCAAAGGCACCAACTTTGGACTCCCTTGAGCCAGACATCACACATACAGGATAGAAGAAAACCAGGATCATAGTTGGGGTTTTCACTGTATTTAATTCATGATAATCAATCCCAATAATAGTATGTAAGCCTTTCAATATAAGTATGCATAAAATGCAATGCAATGCCCTATAATTTCCTAACCTTGGTCTCAACCGACCACAAACTTAACCTTTACTGGCCTAGACTTTCTCTCTATTGACCCTAAACTTGGCCTTTACCGGCCCCAAATACCACCTACGCTAATCGACTTTACTGAGGCGAGATTGATACTATCCTTGATTCCAAATTCGGTAACCATTTGGGGCCTAGTACCAACTTTACACATCTTACACCAGACTGCGCTCCCTCTAGGTCTAGTTAGCACCGGGCTCACGATACTCGGTCTATTTATAAATTTTCACTTTTGCGCCCATTCTAAGATAGCTTATTTGTCAATCATCTTCCATTTCTTTTCCATTCTAAAATGGCCCATTTTCCTTCTCATTCAAAATTCCTTCCATGCCATGCATATGCATCAATTTCATCAATTCAACCTCAATTCACAACTATACAATAGCAATGACTTCAACATGGAATTCTTTATAATTTAAGCACAAGTATAACATTCTCAAATACTATAATCACAAGTACGTTTCCCATACAATTCATACCAACAAAATGATGCCATAATCAATAATTAAGCAATTTTTGCACCAAGGCCATGTTATACACATATTTAGCATGAAATTTAAACATATTTATACTGCATACGTACACTAGCATGCTTTCATAATATCAAGACATATCTATCTTATTTCACAAGTTGACTTTCAAGAATGAGAGTAAGAGAAATAATAGCAATTTGCTCAATCAAAGGCAAAGTTCAATACATTAAATATCCCTACCTCAAGGTGTAAGCCAAACAAAGCCTTAGCCAAGCCCAATTTCAAAATCCCTCAAAGCCCTAGCAAGATTGGTGTCAAATGGAAGCCATTTTTGTGCTCTTCATTTTTTCCTTCTATGGTTACACCAAAATCCTAATCTAACTCACCCAAATTGAAACTTAAAAGTATAGAGGTATAAATGTATATATATATATATATATATATATATATATATAGAAAAAAAGGGAAAACTTTGAGAGAGTGTGTGTGTGCCTGAGAATGAGGAGGAAAAAGGGGGGTGGTCTTACAAACACACACATAGTCTATGCTTTGCCATTCGTCAACCAATGGTCATATTTATCTTTCTATAAAGTTACCAACATACCCTCATTCACCCACCATAATGCCAACCTTGTCCCAAAAATATCTTCCTCAATCTATAGATACACATATATGTATATGTATGGAAAAAGTCTTTGGAAGAAGGCTAAGAGTTCTTTCACAAAAGGGAGTCCACCAGAGTTCTTAGGCTCCACCGATGTAAAAGTAGCTCATCAGTGGAAGAATGATATCAAGTGTCATCTTCGAATGGTTAAGTGCACGGAGGTTTAGAAATAGATGCTTGCTACCTTCAAGTTGGTTGGAGATTCACTCTAGTGGTAGGAGTCAGTTACCATTGCAGAGATACCATTGCAGAGATAGGACTTCATTGACTTATGCTCAGTTTAGTGCTCACTTTGATCATAAATACTTTCCATATACAGTAGAACATTTAAGAAAATAGAGTTCCTCGGCCTACAGTACGGGGACATGATTGTGCAGAGTATGAGCAGCAGTTTACACGCTTATCTCTATTTGCTCCAAATGAGGTAGATACTGAGGAGAAGAAGCGCATTAGCATTATTAATGGGCTGATATGGCCTATTAAGCAAGTCATTACAATAGTCTAGCCTACACTACTTATGCTCAGGTAATGGACACCGCTTTGCAACTTTACTAGTTGAGGATGGAGTATAGACAGAATAGAGATGAGAAGCGGAATGACAAAGACTCTACTAATCACTCAGTTGAGAAGGATAGGGGCAATGGAGTGGGAAACAATGAGAAGGGTAGATTCTAGGGACAACAACCTTAGAAGAAGCACAAGGGTAATTCAGAAGTTCAAAGAGAGGGAGTTCAT